TTTTCTGACTAACATGCTGCGAAGTGAAAAACAGGTGAGTGATCCAAACATCTTTATATATATATATACAGAAGGGGTGGCTATATACATATTCATATATATATAATATATATTTATATGGCTTAATGAAATATCGTTGGAATACACCTATTGTGTTCTATATTCAATTTACAAGTACGCAGCTGTCACCAAACCTCGGGAGGTTCTAGGTTCCCAAGTTTGGATGCAACGGAGTAGTTCATCCAAAGCCCAACGCCGCAAACGAAAGCCTTCAAACACGGCGTTCGTTCACTTTGGAAGCTCAAATCAGAATAGATATGATTCAGCCGGTATTGTTCCACTCTTCGCTCACGAGCATCAGCATCAGTTGGGTTTTCACTTGGTATGCCCTTTGGTTTTTCCCATTGGATCGTGTACTTGTCACGTGTTTTCTGCCGTGATCCACCACCAGGCATTGCCCTGCGTCCAACTGTCCAGCCGCGACGCTTTCGACCGAGGTCTTCAATGGCGACTTTGTGGATCGCGGGGAGCATCAGCCTCTTCGAAGAAACAAATTGAGCCTGGCAGGATGGGAAGTGGTGGAAGCGGTTTCTATACCCAGACACTCCATGCCTAATGTAGGCACATATGGCATACATGGAGTGTTTCGGATAGATGCTTTTAGACCTCGCAATGGGTTGATGTGCATAATTATTCAGGTTGAAAGACCACGACGTCTTAGTCATGCCGAATTCAGGCTGTCCTCCTTGGTGTGCGCATGGTCTCAGACACAAAGCTCAGTCTTATGAGACATGTTAATGTTTGTTTGCGGTACAAAGGTGTGTAGCGCATGAATTCGATTCAATACAGCGTATAAAACATGTCTCCCCTATGTTTGATCTCATGCCGCACTGATGCCTGCAGTTTCTCAGCTTACGCTAGGAAGTCAAGAACCACATGCATCGAAACAAAAAAACCTTGATGGATTGGGCAAATCACAGAGCTGAAGAACTCTCATTTGACAAGACCAGCAGATGATGATGATAAAGATGAAGCTGAAGTGGAATCCTGGAATGAACAGTCCCAATCGATTTTCCGTTCCGCAGAAGGTAAATAAAAACAAATTGTGATTGACTGTGTGCATACTTGACACGAATCTCCTCTTGACGAGATGCAAGAGTGTTTCGGCCCCAAGCCTCAAGATGATGAGCATCAATTTGTTAGCTTCGTTTCTTGGGGCCATGCCTAACATTTTCTGAGCCCCCAAGTGCCTTTACTCTCTCCTGACAAGCCTTTATTGCCCCAACTAGTAACCAGTGCGCCACCATGGCGGTTTGGAGGCACGAGAGCTGCTTGTTCCACGGAGTTTGAGTGAAAGAGATGAAGTATGGCGAAGTGACGACGTGCTTCCGTACTCGCACCTGGCAAAGGCGTACACAGTGTCATTCACACTTACGTTTTGTTTTCAGCAAAGTTCAAGGCACATGTTGTTTGAGAGCAAGGGTTTGCACGGCTGTGTTGCACTGCAATCCTTTCTCTAGATCAAACAAGCGATATTGAACCATTCAAAAAAACCGCATCGGCCATGCGATTCCTTGTGTGGGCATGTTTGTGCCGGATGGTTTCATCCCATGAAGCCGATTTGGTGGCCTCCTTGCAATTATTGCGATCACAGGAATCACCCCGACGCCGAGATCACGATCAAGGGCATGCGTGCCGTGGACAGGATATCCAAGCCCATTCACTCCGGGTTGCGGTGTACACCGCGAACATCGGAGGTAACGACCCAGTCAGTCAGGGCCACTAACATTTCTTGCGTGCCTCACAACATTGATGCCTTCTACTTTTTGGATGAGAGTGGGATTCAGCAAAATGCAGCTGCGTTGAAGATATGGGAAAAACGCGGCTGGAAAGTGATGAGTTATGACATGATTCCAGGAACTGAAGGTGTGGATTCGGCCCGGCTGACCGGCAAGGAATTGAAGTTTGCCCCGCCAAAGTGGCTAGCAAGTGGCTATGATTGGTTGGTTTTTTATGATAGCATCCGATACATAGACTTGAGCAATTTGACGTCATTCTTGGTTGAAAGGCAGAGCCATGCTCTTGTACTACTGGATGCATGCCACGTTCACCCAGAGTGCTGTGGGCGTGACGGATGGTTTTGCATGAATTGGCAAGTGTCTCACTACAGCAGACCGAGCCAACACGACAAGATAGCGGCAACTTTCAACAAGACTAAGATGTGGTTCAAAGAGACGATGAAGCACAAACGTGCAGGTCTTTTAGTGCCACATTATTTCCACACTTGCATCATGTTTCGCAACTTGAGGCAT